TTTTTTTAAGGGGGGAAAATCATCGAATGACTGCCCCCGCCTGGGTGAGGCGGGAGGGAGTGTCAGACTCTTACTGACTAAAAACCACCCCGTTCCTTCTCCTGCACGTCGAGCCGGAGCCCCGGTTACCCGTTAGGTTCTCCGCGACCAACCGTATAAATTAGTCAGTCTTTAGGTGTCAACTCAGCTAATCGGCCCCTGTTCTCCTTAGCGAGATGTTTTATTGCCTCGACCTCGATGAAAGGACTATCAGATAATGTATCAATGAGACTGTCAAAACAGTTTTTAAAAGAGTAACGATGGAGTTTCTTGCTCGTTCTTCTCCATTCGAAACTACACTTTGGAATGAGCACCTAGCTTTACTGATAGACGGACGGACGGAAAATAGGGATGATTACAGGGTATGAAAATTAAAAATCTAATTAGTTCCTCATTTAGGTAATGAAAAAATATTAGACACGTATTTTTTTCATATGTCGTATAAAAAAAACGATACTTAGATAAAACAAATCAAAGTGTAGGAGTGGGAGGTAGCTACGTCATTTTAGAGTATAAATCGTACCTACTCAAAAGTGACGTCATGCGATATTTCAAATCAATATATCGTCGAAACTATTCTTTTCCGTAAGAAAATAAAAAGTACGTGTCTAATGTTTTTAAATAATAATATTTTTAATATTTTTTACCAGACGGACATTAAAATTAAAATTAGAACCACCTTATTCAATTTTTGACGTTTCAAAATTGCCTTGACTTTGACATATAGGTACGTAAATATACTCTGTGACTCGGAACGAGTACATCTTTTGTCAGTATATTTAGGTGAGTACCTAACTCACAATTTTTAGTTCATTTATGTAACACCCACTTTTCACTATTTATGTTATGAGTCCCATGTAATAGGGGGTGAGCCTATTGCCATATACAGGGCACATTTACAGACCCTGTGCTACTAATGAGATTTTTAAAAACCCAGTAATACTTTGCCCGACCCGGGAATCGAACTGAAATGCCCGGCAGTCGCACTTGCGACCACTCGGCCAACAAGGCATTTACATTATACAGTGGCATTAAAAATTTACACCTCTGCCTACCCCTCCGGGGATAAAAAGGCGTGATGTTATGTTATGTTATAGTATGTTTCACGATAGTTATTATAAAAAGAATCAAGTAGCTACTCACGCTAACAATAGGCTTATACTTCGGCATCTCGTCTCCAGTGAACCTGACCGTGTGATGGGTGCTCCTGGTCTTGCCCGGATGAACCATGTTTAAAGATTTTCTATATCACTCTTATGCCATCTGAAAAATAACTTGTTGCGCTATTTTTGTTTAGTAATTAATAATATGTATTAACATTACTACATTAAGATAAATATTTAAAGTTCAGGAACACTCGAATAGTTTCATAGCGCAAGGTTAAGAGCTCCAATGTGACTTGAAACTTTACGGCCACACTTTGAAACTTTACGTGATTAAGTAAGCGTTAATCTAAACCACTAAAAAATTAATCCTCCACACTTCGATAAGTAATTTTACTTAAGTCAAATTTACACTCAGACTACACAAACAATTGGGTAGTTTCCAGGGTATCAAAATTAAAAATCTAATTAGTCCGTCAGTTAGATGATGAAAAAATATTAGACACGTATTTTTTTTTTCTCGTATTAAGTTGCAATACTTAGATAAAATAGCGCTAAGTTTAGGAGTGGGAGGTCGTTACGTCATAACGTGCTACAAAATGTGACACGCTGTGACGTCACACGATATTTCAAATTAATATATCGTCGAAAGTATTTAATTTAGTGAGAAAAGAAACATACGTGTCTAAAGTTTTAAATTAATGTACCAGACGGACATTAAAATAAAATTTAGGGAACTATTCTATTGTTTTGAGCGGGAATCGCACCCGCCACAAGTAGCGCAACAGTCGGCCCATCAAATGCACCAAACGTGCAGTCTATCTGGTCTATCTTCACACTGGTTGATGACAATTAATATTATATAGACAGTAATAAACCAATTAAATCAGTACTTACCCCTTTCTCAAATGGTAGGTGTGCACTTTATTGAACCATCTTGTTCTAGGATAGAAAATCACTAAACATAGACTTGTAAATCACTATACGTTTGCACCGTAAACTGATCGCGAATATTTTGACCGAATTCCGCGGAAATAATTCGCTATGTCGCCAAGAAGCGCAGTTTTGATATATAACAATACAGGCTGTTTTATTTTTTACGAAATATTTTCTAAAAATTTTTAGTCCTAAAGTTTTTATATGGGACTTAGCTTTTGCCAACGGCTTCGCCCGCGTTCCTAGGGGTAAAAAGTATCATTGAACTCCTCCTAAATGGCTTGACCGATTTAAATGAATTTTTCTGTACGCGTTTGAGTGGCTCTCTGGATGGTTTAGATTCACAGATCAGCCCAACAGATGGCGCTGTAGTCGGTTTCTAGGTTAGTTATCATGAACGGCTGAACTAATTTGAATGAATTTTTGTTTATACATTCAAGTGGATATGCAGGACAATGTCAAACTAAATTATTTATTTATTTCAATTAAACCATAATTTTGTACTTTTGAAACGTCAACTATGAAATAAATAATAGTCTGTCAGTCTGTCCGTCAGTGAAGCTAGGCGCTGTCTGGGCTAGGCGCTGTCTGTGAAGCTAGGTCTGCCGGGTCCGCTAGTTTTATATAATAAGATGAGAAGCATGTTTGTGTTTTTTTTGTTTATACATTTTGAGAGCACCCCGTAGTTCCTAACAAGCCGTACTTGGTACGAAGAGGCGTGCATCATAAAAATATTATCATAACCCGAGCTTTGCCAATGATCTGCCATTATGGATGGCGTTGTCACATTGGAACCAAGAAATTATGATTTTGATAATCAAGCATTAACCGACGAGCATGAAAAGATTGATGACTGTTGATGAAGCGAAAGAGGTATTGAAAGAGGTAATTGGCGTTCCCTAGTCTCTGCCTATCCCCATGGGAGACAGGCGTGAAGTTATGTATGTATGTATAATCAAATCCAGTTGGTACTTTTGACTAGGACAAAGATTTGATTGAGTTGTTTCCTTACGATTTATATTTCCGCATTTTTCCCATTGAAAGCGAAACAAAACGCAACTGTTGTGTCACGTCAGTTTTCTGTGAGGCCGTGGTATCACTTCGGTCGAGCTAAACTATTGAAGTCTGGCTCTCTCCAAATTAAAAACCTTGGGTGGCTATAACATAACATCACGCCTTTTATCCCCGAAAGGGTAGGCAGAGGTGCATTACATTATGCCACTGTACAATGTAACACCCACTTTTCACTATTTATGTTATGAGTCCCATGTAATAGGGGGTGAGCCTATTGCCATATACCGGGCACAATTCCAGACTCCGTGCTACTACTGAGATTTTTTTTAAAA